AGAACCTATATTTTAACAAAATGCTCAGGTGGTAGCACTTATTTCCCAATTCAGTCTTTAATGAGTCCCTATGGGAATGGGGCGCAGTTTAGTGTTCCCTTTTCTTCTTTTTAAGACAGTTATTCATTCCTTTCTTTGCAGAGTTGCCCGTGGGTACGTTTAAAGTGAACTCAGATTTTGATAGGAATAATGGAGAGTATTGGTGACTCCCACGGACCCTTCCTGGTGACTTCCACAAAGGATATTCTATTCAGAAACTTTGTGTATAGCTTCACACCAGCCACAAATGACTGCATATTACATGGTTTTACTTACATGAAATATTCAGTGTAGGCATAGAGACAAAACAGATTAGTGGTTGTTAGAGCTAACAGGTAAGGGATTTCTTTGCGGGGTAGAATAGATAGTAGTAATAATTAGAAAGTAAGAGTTTTTGAGATGAAATTTGATAGTGGTAATGGTTGCACAACTTTGTGAATATATTAAAAAGCACCAAACTGTATGCTTTAAGGAGTGAACTTTTCTGTATGTGAACTATATCTCCCCGTGTTGCCCAGGCTGGACTCAAACTCAGGAGCTCAACTGATCCTCCTGCCTCAGCCTCCCAAGTAGCCAGGACTACAGGCAAGCAACACCACACCCAGATATTTGTTTTTTAAAAAGTTGCTTTGCAGTTTTTTGCTAAGAAGAGAAAATGGATATGAGGGTTACATTTGTTTATCTAAAGGGCTCATCCTGAGGAGTTTCCCAAAACAATGTTCTCTTACAGCCCTCATCAATGTGAGACTCTAGATGTATTTAGATTAGGAGTCAGATTTATATTTTATAAAAGTCACTGTGGTTTATAGATGTGGGTAAGAGGAATGGGCTGGAGGCAGAAGGTTTGAAGATAGGATGATTACTTGGGAGATTCATCACAGGGCTCCCCAGGGATTAACTAGGACAATCTAGACTTGACTAATATCAATCACCCAGAGACACAGAAAACTATGAGATTTGGAAGCTGAGGAAGATCCTGCTCTGTTTCAAGTATCTTCCTGAATTCCTACCCACTAGAGAGATTCAAGGATTTCATTCTTTTTCTTGTATTCTTTCAACTTATTATTATTTTTTTGATCAGGCAGTGTCATCAGACATTATAGGGGATGAAAAGGAGAGCTCCTTTTCCTCCAGTAGCAGTAGTGATCAGAACTTGGAGTAGTGGCAAGACCCAACCAGGGCTTATAAAATGCACCCTGTGATAAGAACCAAAGGGAGGTATAGACCTAGTGCTATCAGCATCAAAGAAGGAATAAATTACTTCTTGTGGAATTCCCATCTGAGTTTTTAAAGAATGAATGGCTATTAACAGATTATAGGTGAAAGTTAGGAGAACATTTTAATAGTGGCACTAGAACAAGGAGAACATACGAAATGAAGAGCTAAAAGCAAGAATGCATATTTTGGGAAGGAAGAGTGGGCAGAGCAGAGATCTGAAAAGAAAACAGATAAGTAAACCAGGAAAATATTGTAAATGGATCAGTGGACAACTTGTGGTCTTCAAATGGCAAAACTAGGGGCTGGGTGTGAGAGAGAAGACAGTGAATACATATTGGCATCTTTCACAGATCTATAGATTTCCCTGATTGGAGGGATTTCTGAAGGCACGTTTTTAAAAAGGCTGGCTCTGGTAAGGTGCTGAGGCTAAAAGCAAGGAGGAGCAAGAGGGCGGCTAGTGAGAGGAAAGGACACTGACAAAGCGGAGACAAAAGGGAATCGCGGTGGTCCCCAATCCCTCCTTCCCTAATTTCAGCGGAGATCACCCAGTCCACAGGCATCTGTCTTGTCATCAATGAGCTGGTTTCACCAGTAAAATATTAGGACGCACCCAGGTAAAACCTTTCGTATGATAATGCCAAATTCATATTTGCTATTAGAATGATTTAATTTTAAAAAGCACCTTGTTCCTGGCAGAGAAGGCACCTGAACGTTTTTTTTATAATTGAACGTTGTTTAGGTTTGTTGTGGAGCATAGATTTAGGACAGGAAATGACTCAAAACTGCATCGAAAAGCCTACGTCCTCTATTAGCATTGAAGTTGGAAGACCTGTTGTCAAGAGACCTTATTTCCCCCTTTAACATTTAGATTTCTTGCCCACCCCCGGCCAGCACGTCCCTGAGGTCTTTAGGTCCAGCGGGGGGGGGGGCGGGGGGCGGGTTACAATCCAAGCAACCAATCGTGGCGCAGCCACGGGGCGGGGCCATGTCGCTCCACCCCTCTTCCAGCCAGTCTTCCCAACCTTCCCAAACCGGGTTTCTCGCACCTGCGTGTCCCTCCGCGTCCGGGCGGGTGTAACTTCTCCACCTCCAGCGGGGAAGGGGCGTGGCCTCGCCTCTCGCGAGACCGCCTCCTGTCGTTGCCACCACCGCTCCTGGTCGCTGACTGGCGGCGCCTGCGCAGCCGCCATGTTTGGTTGCTATGCTGCGGCCTAGGAGACGGGGTGTGCTTGAGGGAGGAGGAGGAGACGGAGGAGGAGGTGGAGGAGGAGGAAGGAGAGGAGGAGG